TTTCTTTTAAACTAAGGCGATTTTTTTAAATTTGCAAACTTAGGCAGCAAGTAGCCAACATCGCGCTTCGGAAAAAAAATCACGTCTTGGACCAAAGTGCATTAAGACACTTGAAATTTTAGCCCGTTGTAGGCAAAACTTCCATCAACTGTTCCTGTAAATTTCAGTTTTCTTCTAAACAAAAGTGATCTAAGAAAAAATGTAAACTTAGACACTCTGTAATTGAAACCGCGTTTACTTGGACATTTTGCTAAACAAATCATATCTTGTGGACACACACAAGCGACTAATTAATAACACTAACAGCTCACTTAGAAACATCGTACCTCTAGAGCACCAGGAAGCAAACAGTCGCTTAATGATTAATGCAAAAAATACATCTGAAACTGTGAAATGCTCCAAAAAAGCAAAAAACAAGTTTGATCAAAACACAACAGTCTGTCTAGTCAACGCCAACAAAAATCGTTCTTTAAAGCCTCTGTTTAAAATTTAATTTTGATGTAATCATTAATACTGTTCGTTCCAATCCCGGGCTGTCTTACTCTCTGTCTATCAACACTGATTAGGGCTTTAATAAATATTAATTTGCTAGGCGACCTGACGTCCGGATAAATTATTTAATTTGTTAAGGATCCGTGTCACGATTCGAGTGCTCTCATTGTTTTCCAAGTAGAGTCGAAACACTCTCGGATTGTGCTTATTTTATTGCGAACTGAGCTGTTGCTTAGGTCATCTTTTTATCTGATGTCTGTTTCAATTGGCAGTACGTCTCTTGATTGGTTTTCGTTGAAATGGCCATTAACACGGAAAAATTAATCAAGTCTCTGGACTCTAGAGGTGGAAGATTAGTTTTCCAATATTATTTTCACTTACTTACCATTTGTTGTTCTTAAACAATGTTTTGTTTAATTTTGCGGGTAAGCTCAACAAGCGAAAATTTGATCGGAACAGTACGGAAGCGGCTTCTAGCGGTTCCCTTCTCTGATTCTCATTGCATACTAATTGAAATTTCCGGTAAGTCGTAATCCCCGGATTTTGCATAAAGTTTTTATGGTCCAAGACATGTTTGCCAGAACAGAACTAGTTATAGCAGTTGCCTCGATAGACCGACTAACTTCTGGATAAATGGCACGGCGAAATTGTCTGGTTTAAATGAACAAGCTTCCGCTGATAAAATGGCCCAAAAAAACTGGAAATATGAGAGTTAATCCAGCGAAATGAAGCGCTTGAAGTTGGGAAATTTTTTAAACTTGTCTAGCTGTCGATGTATTTTTTGTTTTCTTGTAGAAATCGGGGTTTGTTTCAGTTGCTTTCACTCGATTTGTCGACGTTTTTTTGCCAGAATAACAACGTATTTGCAGAAATTTATGAAAATCACGAAATACCAAAGAAATAGAGCATAAAGGTAATGGTAAGAAGCGGTAAAGAAAAACTGAAAATGTCAGTTGCTTTCTATGCAACTGGTAAAAACGTCGACAATATTTTTACCAGAAGAAGGGCGGTTTTAAAAATCAATGAACATCAATGCAATTGAGCATAAGCAGTTTAGAATGAGAAGAAACGAGAAAGACAGATCGAAAATTAGATAATTTCTGTTGCTTTCGTGGTCAAACTCTGGACGATTTTATCTGAATAACGTTTTTAGGACAACTGAAAAAAATGGCAACTATGTACAGTGGGAGGAAGCGAGAGGGACGGACATTTCAATGTTGAAAGTATCATCTAGCTGTCAACGTTTTTTTACTAGATGAAGGACGGTTTTAAAAAATCAATGAAAATCATGAGACATCGAAGCAATTGAGCATAATAGACAATGAGAAGAAGCGAGAAAGAAAAGTGGAAAGAAGGGAGAAAGATAATCTGTTGTCAGTTGCTTTTGGCCTAATTGTCGACGTTTTTGTCAGAACAAGAACGTTTTCATCAGAACAAGAACGTTTTTACGAAATAACAGATGAGAATTGCGCACAAGAAAAATGTAATTTTTTATGTTGAAACATTCAGTTTCTTTGGGTCTAGCTGTCGACGTTTTTACCAGAAGAAAAACATTCTTACATAAATGAATGAAAATTACGAAACATCACTGAAATTGAAGATGAAGGGAGAAAGACAATTAACTAACTAACTGTCAACGTTTTTATCAGAATAAGAACGTTGCACAAAGGAAAAATTTAATTTTGAATGTTAAAAAACTCAGTTTCTTTCGGTCTAGCTGTCGACGTTTTTACCAGACTAAGATCAGTTTAAAAATGAATGGAAATCGCGAAACAACCAAGCAATTGACCATAAAAGTCTAGCTGTCGACGTTCTCATCAGAACAAAAACGTTGCACAAAAGAACAATGGAATTTTGAATGTTGAAAAACTCAGTTTCCTTCGGTCTAGCTGTTGACGTTTTTACCAGCCTAAGAACAGTTTAAAAAATGAATGAATATCGCGAAACAACCAAGCAATTGACCATAAAAGAAAAGCTGTCGACGTTTTTATCAGAACAAGAACGTTGCACAAAGGAAAAATGGAATTTTGAATGTTAAAAAACTCAGTTTCTTTCGGTCTAGCTGTCGACGTTTTTACCAGACTAAGAACAGTTTAAAAAATGAATGGAAATCGCGAAACAACCAAGCAATTGACATAAAAGGGAAGCTGTCGACGTTTTTACCATAATAAGAACGTTGCACAAAAGAAAAATGTAATTTTTAATGTTAAAAAACTCAGTTTCTGTCGGCCTAGCTGTCGACGTTTTTACCAGAATAAGAACAGTTTAAAAAATGAATGGAAATCGCGAAACAATCAAGCAATTTACCATAAAAGACAAGCTGTCGACGTTTTTATCAGAACAAGAACGTTGCACAAAGAAAAATGGAATTTTTAATGTTAAAAAACTCAGTTTCTGTCGGTCTAGCTGTCATCGTTTTTACCAGAATAAGAACAGTTGAAAAAATGAATGAAAATCGCGAAACAACCAAGCAATTGGCCATAAAAGTCAAGCTGTCAACGTTCTGATCAGAACAAAAACGTTGCACAAAGGAAAAACTGAATTTTGAATGATACAAAACTCAGTTTCTTTCGGTCTAGCTGTCGACGTTCTTACCATACTAAGAACAGTTTAAAAAATGAATGGAAATCGCGAAACCACCAAGCAATTGACCATAAAAGACAAGCTGTAGACGTTTTTTATCAGAAAATAGAACTTTCCTTCAGAATGATTTGTAGATGATTGGTAATGAAATTAATTAAAGTAGTAAAGAAAAAAATTTAAAATTCAGTTGCTTTTGACTGTCGACGTTTTTATCAGAACAAGCACGTTTTTACCAAAAGAAGGAAAATCGCGAAAGAACAAAGAAGAATTGCGCACATGAAAAATGTATAATGGGAAGAAGCGAGGAAGAAAAATGGAAATTTGAATGTTGAAAAACTCTGTTACTTTCGTTCTGGCTGTCGACGTTTTTTCACCAGAAGACAAACGTTGTTACAGAAATGAATGAAAACTACGAAACCTCGCAGCAATTGAACATGGAGGGCAATGAAAAGAGGAAAGATGGAAGATTATTTTCAGTTGCTTTTGGTTCGTTCTACAAGTTCTCAAGAACGTTTCTACCCAATTGAATAAAGATCATTTGCGCAAAAAGTGATGGAAATCGGGATGTGGAAACTCAGTGACATTCGGTCTAACAGCCTCAGTTTTTACCGAAACAAGAACGTTTCTGCATGAATGATCAATTAACCGGACAGAACTGTATCGATTCATCTCGAAGAATAATTGAATGAAATAAAAACAGGAATAATGGATAAATACCTGGAATGGGCAATAAGGCCGCAGCAAGTGTGTGGCGCAGGTCGGGCGCCATCCAGTTCTCCAGGGCGCAGAGAACTTCCAGACGCCGATGAACTCGCGCTCAGCTGAGCATCGCCTGCCGTCGTCCAGTAGTCGACTCGACGTTTCGCGACGTGGACACGCCATCCTCATAGGTGAAGGCCACGTGACAAAAATGACAGTTGGGGAAATGGACGTGCGACGTCACGCCAGAAGAAAACGCGACAGCCGGCTTGCAGACAGTTACCACGGTCGCGCCGGTCCGAATAACGCGCCGCACTTGCCGATCCATTGCGGCGAAGAGATCGCGTTTTAAACGAAAAAAGTCCACATGAAAAATTAAGAAAACGTGTGAACCTGTTGATGTTTTTAAAGTTTTTCCCCCCATCGTTGATGTTGTCGATTTTATTCATGTTGACGAAGATTCAGAAGCAGCAGTGTGTTAACATAGTTGACGATCTTCTCCTTAAGTTTAAGATATAGTCTAATTGTAGAAAATCGTTTCGGTTCTTACCGTTTGGTTAGTGATCGTTCGAATTAGGTGCTTCAGTAGCATCGCAAAGCAGTTATTCTAAATGAAGTAGTTTATAGGAAAAGTTACCGTATCTAGAGCCACCATAGGTAACTATTCCCCATAGGTTTTCAACAGAATTCGTTAGGTTTCTGGTAAGGATTTCGGCCAAAGAGTCACAATCAATTCAACCATCTGGAGGTTTTCCAGCTGGAATTCCGCAGCACCAAGCATCTGTTTTGTCTGGCGAATTATAATTTTAGCCACTTTATACCCTCGTCCTTTGTTTTACGCCATTTGAGTCCAACTGAGCCCATTGTGTTGGTTATGCTTTGTTTTTCATTTCTTCACTGTTTCCGTACGAGGGTCATTCAGTTTCAACGCCGAAATTTTATTAGTTTTTTCTTCACTTGAAAGTCAAGGTTTTTAGCAATCGGATTCCACTGCCACTGTTTCCAGTCATTAACTAATAAACTCACTTATTTGCGTATTTAAGGTAAATTGTCTACATTGCGCAAGTAAACACATTACGCCACTGTTTGAAAATTTTCCAATTAATATCATCCCAAGTCTGTTTGTTTCATCCGATTAATTGCCAATTTCGCTTATTATTTTGCAAAATATCACTACCGCATTGCAATCATGAGGAAAACGGCAAAAACCAAGGCAATCAAGGGGATTAAGGAAAAAATGAAATTTATTACTAATACAATTCAATAAGCGAGTGTCCAGCCTTAAATGATACAAGTTCTTGCATTCTTTGACTGTGGCGTTTCTAAATCATTGTCTAGCTTTGGTGTGATTTCCTGGATATTTTACGCAATTTGTCTATGTTTTTGTGTCGATTTTATTTAGTCAGCAGGCTTTTGACCGTCTGCAGACACCCGATTTGGCAAAAGATCTTTTAAATCCATCGATGACTAGCTTCTTAGTATGCATCATGCAGCCTGTCTGGCTTAATATGTGAATCATAAATTATATTTTAAATTGCAATGTGATGTCAATGTGAGGCGAATGGTCACGTTTTCGATTTTTTCTTCCCCATCGTGTTTTGTCCCCTAGAACGAGTGCGGTTTTATGGCTGGAATATCGAATATTTACAATGGTTGTTTTGTATTTTTTTCCCTACTGAATCCACGGCTTTTTATTATCGTCTCAAAAGTTTGTGTGTGTAGAAATGGCGTAATTTTTTTTGTCCCAATAATACAAAAAAACTCGAGTTTCCGCAATTGCTGCTCAATTTCTCCTCACGTTGTTCGAGGACAATAATGCATCCTGTCCAGTCTTTTATGTGATGTGTGGCCGTCTGTTAATTGCCCGAAAATAACATTTATTTAATGGGCCTAAAAGCTCGCTTTATTATGTACTGAAAACGCTCATTGCATAAGCTCTAAAAATAAATGGCGTGAAAAGCCAGTGGCCCAAATCATGTTTTTAAATTGACAATACTTCAATTACTGTCGTTGAAACCATTTCAGATTCGTTCGTTTTCCAAAAGTGTTTTATTTTCCCTTTGTTCATTAGTGGAACAGCCTAAATTTTCGAAATCCGCCACCCTCCCAAGTCAAATACGCAGGTTTCACCGCGGTTTTTCCCGTGAAAACATGCATTTTTTGTGCCAATTCAACAAACACATCTGCGCTCAGAACAGTTTTTTCTCTCGAAAACAAAACGAAACACGTGAATTAATGCACGTTAGCATTTACTGTTTGTGTTTTTAATGATTTAATGCATTCGGCGCCTCGTATCGAAAAAAAAACTGGATGGACGCATTAACGCATAGTAAATACAATTTGTATTTTGGGCCATATTTCGGCATTTTCATATTCAATTCGTTGTTCGGAGAACGAACGAAATGCCGAAAACATCGATGCGTGAACGATCGAAGTAGATCCCAACAAACTGCGGTGCAATGAAACTGGTATTAATAATGGGAAATTGTGTGCTTGTATCAGAGTAAAATTAAAAAAATGTGTTGGTTTAGTGCAAAAATTGAATGGAAGACCATTGAGTTTAAGAATCCCTAAGGCGTCTTTAAAGGCTTTGAAGCAATTGTGTCGATTATACATACCATAAACATTTTTTTCGGAGTTGAATGCATTTTGCAACTGTTAAGTTTTGGGGGCTTTTAGGCTGTCCTGGAAAATAATTTTGCCCAACGTTTCGCAAGCTCGAGTGACTTGCCTCTTCAGAGGTGGTCCAATTGTTCCTGCAAAACATATTCGAAAGCGCAACTCTGACTTCTCTGATCTTTAATACGATCGATGCAAAATTCAATAATTTTAATGAACGCCTTGCACCGTCACCATCAAATCAATAATCATCCATCTCCCCTGGCAACCCCACGGATGTTCTGTGTTGTGCCCGGAAGTACCGCCGCGCTGTCTCTTGTCACAGCCATGAAGTAGCCCCGATGTTGCCACTCCCGTCGTGGGTGTGCCCCGCCTACCAGGGTTGCCGCTCTCGCCGTGGTTGCTCTGTTTTCCCAGGTTGCTTACAAATTTTTATTTATTTCACATTTTGTCTGAATCCCAAGAAAGAAAAAATATAATAACAATTACACGCAGTTAGGAAAATAAATCAAAATACATTATTATTATTTAGTTACTTTCTTAAATAGCGAAATGGTTTAGGTCGATTATTTTGGTTTTTCTTCTGCTCTGGCCGATGCATTATGAGGCGTAGGCAGTGGTGTTGTTTGGAAAAAAAATGAAATTTAAATAAGTAAATTCCATTTGCATATAAAGTGGCTTTCGAACGCGCTTGGAAAGACTGTGTAAAAGACAATAAACAATGATTTGAATTGCTAAAACCTGAAACAGCCATAAAACGTAAACCGCTTCTTAGAGTCATCACTTAGCCGTTTTTGAAATTGAGGCCGTTTTGAGTTCAGTTTTTTTGCCGTGTTTAATCACTTAGTCACAATAATTAGGTGCAGTGGTTCGTCCCACTGAGAAACTACGAGTTTCTATATATTTTTCAATAGAAAACACGGAAATCCCCACTGTAATTATTATCCCTTCGGTCATTAATCTTCCTAACGTTCCCAACAGCTGGTTTCTGGCAAATGGAAAAAAAATCTGGCCTTTTCCAACGAGATCCACCCGAGTATTGAAAAAACGAAAACCTGCAATATTAATGGCCGGTCAATAGGATGTTTAGGAAAAATAGTTATTTGCCTGAATAGGGGGCCAATGTATACAGGGTAAAAAATTCAAATTGTCACACTGTACATTGGATTAAGTACATATTTTTTATTTGCTTAATACTTTTGAGCAAAATATCCAGTCAGATTAGGATGGCAGCAATAAAAATAGCTACAAATAAATCAATATTGGCTTTTGCAATTTCCGAATACCGATTTTATAATTCAATTTAAGCCCGATGTGTCTAAATATGTGATTTGGCAAAATAATCGAGAAATATGTTCGAAATAATGCTATAAATTAAACTGTGTCAATTTAAATAAACCGGTCAATGGTTCGTGCCATTTCTGCATTGGTCGTTTGCAATATTGGAACATTATTTTTAATTAACCCCATTTTCGACTCAATATATATCAGTGAACTATTGTTTCGGCCAATATATTTTATGTTTAAACAGCAACGAAACACATAATTGTTTCGCGTTTATTAACAAAGTCAATACGCCTAATTGTAATTATAGTAGTTTTTATTTTCCATTGCCCATCACCTTTCGTTCGTTTGCACTTTCATCAATGCTGCTAAACCCCTAAACCAGAAACCTAGTGGTTTTTTTGTGTGAAAAACCTGATGAAAAACCCCCTTTACTTCAGGAAAAGGTACTTTTTCCAGGACCAACCAAGGAAAAATCCATGCCTCCATTAGAATAAACCCCCATTAGACGTTACTTAAACTAAGCAAAAATCCCTAGAACTTTAGCCGAGTTACGCCAGAAATTGGAAACATTTCTTAAGACGTTAAAATAACTTTTTGCAATAGCAAGTGAATACAATAATGAACTTGAACCAGTTATTGACAATTTGAGACAGTGATGGAAAGTTTAGAGGACGTGGCGGCAAGAGAGGAGGCCGAAAGGCAGCAAAGTTTAAAGGATTTGGAGCAGCTCTATGAGTGGTTGCAGCAATTCGAGGATCCTCCGCCAGCTCCAAGACCTCCACCTCCTTATCAATTCAGAAACGGTTCGTATTGAGTTTTTTTTGAGGGGCACCGGTAGGGAAGCTTCCGAAGTTAATTGCTAGTGCTTAAGGGAATTTCGTAGAAATTCCAAAAATAGCTTAGAATTGAAAATTCGTCGGAAATTTGTTGATTATTGGAAAGAATGAAACACTGTTACAATTTGCCTTCAAACATACATTTTTAGGCGAACATTCACAAATCCGCAAAAATCAACAACTGATGCAATTTAAATGAATTTTTCAGGGTTTTCAGACTCAAGT